ACCCTGAATAATGAAATGAATGACATTGCTACCTTGTGATATAAGCAGCTTTCTCATTCCAAGTTGAAAGCAATGAGACAATATACTATGATCCTCTTTTGACTACCTGAATCTGAACAAGAGTAGGGATGTGAAATCAAACATGCTTCTTTAAAAAAAAAAAAAAAGACTCAGACAAGAAAAGGGGATGGGGGCTCAGAGCTTTCTGTTCAGAGTGTAAAGTAGACATAATTGATTAAATTGCATTAATTTGGTGTATATTCTGTCCTGAAGTTTCACGATATTGCATGAGTCTTCTCTAAATTGAAGAAAAACCTAAGAAAGAGAACTGTTACTAAGCTAACATACTTAGCCAATAATAAATTTCGGCTACTTCTATATAAAATTTGCTTTTGAACTCTGGTAGCAAAGCCATCATAGTCCCAAATCTTGGCAAGCATATATGGAAGTGACTTTTAGAACATAGTTACAGTGTTGTATAAGCATCACTGTCCAAAAAACCAGGGCTGTTCTGGGCATTCTGGCTTCTACTTTAAACTTTAGAGTTTTGCTAGTGTCACACTACAACTGCTTTATTGTTTATAATAATTTTGCCTGGGATTCCCTTAGTAAGATATTAATGAATTATTTTAAATGATCAGGCCCTGAAAGACCATGATCTGACAGGGAAGGGAATCCAAGATGAGTGATTGCTCCTTAAGGACGCAATCCTAAAAAGCACAAGGGAAGTCCATTCCAGCCCATAGGAAAGGTAGTAAAAGGACTGGGAGACCTCCTTGACTCAATAGGGAACTCATGGACCTCCTGAATCTTAAAAAGAGAAGCCTACAAGGGTTGGAAATACCTCTAAAGAGGATTACACATCACTGGCCCACACCTGTAGGGAATGGACCAGAAAAGCCAAGGCTGAAACTGAGCTCAAACTGGCTACGGGAATCAAGGACAATAAAAAAGTCCGTCTTCAGATATGTGGGAAGTCAAAAATGAAATAAGGGCAACTTTGGGACCCTGCTAAATCCAATGGAGCAGCTGACATCTACCACCCAGGAAAGTGCTCAGGAGAGGTTCCTGAAGTTTGGAAGAGGACCAGTGTGGTGCCTATCTTCACGAAATGAATGAAGGAAGATCCGGGGAACCACAGGCCAATCAGTTTAACCTCAATCCTTGGAAAAAATTATTAAAAAGAATCCATCAACAGCAGGCTAATAAAAGGCATCATTCTGCAAGACAGCCAATACAGCTTAGTTACAAGTAGGTTGTGCCTGACCAACCTCATCTCCTTCTATGACCAGGTGACACATCATAGACTGATGTAATTTATTTGGATTTCAAAGGCTGATGTAATTTACTTGGATTTCAAGAAAAGCCTTTGATTTGGTCTCCCATGATGTCCTCATAACAACACTGGGGAACTGCAGCCTCTACAACCTTATGGTCCAACAGCTGGGGAACTGGCTTTGTGGTCAGACCCAAAGAGTTAAAGTTGATGGATGGAACTGAGTCAACATGGTGCATGTCTTCCTCCCACTTTATTCAGCCTTGGTAAGGCTGCAGCTGGAATTCTGCATCCAATTCTGGGCTCCACCCTTTAGAAAGGATTTGAAGAAGCTCCTAGCTGCCCTAACTGTGAAGTAGTTTTTTCGGATGTCCAATCTGTACCTCCTCCCCATCAACTTGTGCCCATTATTCCTTGTTATGCCAGCAGGGGCTAGGGGAAACAGCGTCTCCCCCAAACCCTTCTGGTTCCCCCTAGTGAGTTTATAGACGGTCACCAGGTCCCCCCTCAGCCTTCTCTTGTGGAGGCTGAATAGGTTCAAGTCCCGCAGTCTCTCACTGTAGGGTCTGCCCTGTTGTCCCCGGATCATGCGGGTGGCCCTCCTCTGGACCCTCTCCATGTTGTCCACATCCCTCCTGAAATGGGGCGCACAGAACTGGACACAATACTCCAGCTGCGGCCTGACCAGGGTCACAGAGGGGGAGGATCACCTCCCTGGCTCTACTCGAGATGCACCTGTGGATGCACGACAAGGTCCGGTTAGCCCTGCCAGCCAATCTAGGAGCTGGAACCAACTTCCAAGGGAGGGGGTGCTGGCCCCTACCCTGGGGATCTTTAAGAAGAGGCTGGATACTTACCTGGCTGGGCTCATTTGAGTCCCGGTTTTGTTTTTAGGGTGAGGGGGGTTTTTTGGGTTGTTCTCCCGCCCTGGCGGGGGGGCGGGCTAGAAGATCTATTAGGGCCCTTCCGACCCTGAAACTATGAAACTATGAAACTATAAAATGTTTTTCACAAACCAAAAGGAGAGGACTACCTAGAGCTGGCTGCTGCAGCTGTGGCATCCAGCATAACTGCAGTGGAACTGATGCTTATGGAGATAAGGAGGGAAAGGGCAATGTAGGCAAGTCTGAAGTTGTTGGTTATGTGTACTGATTATGAGTGCACTGACAGATTTTGGGGGCCAATACTGATAGCCGATTTTTAAGGAGGCATATCAGCTGATATTGATGTGATTTCGGATACAGATGTGTGCAGCTGGCAGTTTGTTGTGGTGGAGGGGGAGGGGGAGGGAAGGGGCATGAGGGCAGAGCAATGCCCCCCCACCCCCATGATGAGGGAGGGAGAGGGGTTGGGGCAGGCATTGCCCAGCCAGGGTGGGGCAGGAATGGGATAGAGCCACAGCTTGTCCAGGGGGTGCAGGGAGGGAGGGTTAAGGGGGGCTGCAGCCCTCCCAAACTTCACCATAGCTCCCCTCTCAGTGCTGCTGCTGCCGCCCGCAGTCCGCTCCTCTCCCCCTGCTGGGAAAAGCCCAGCATGGCCCCTGGCCCCAGCCCCCATCTGGGGGCACATGCCCCCTTCTCCCTGGGGTGCACATAGCAGCAGGAGCCACTCCCACTCCCTGCACCCCTTGGACAAGCCACAGCTCCATCCTACACCTACCCCAGCTGGGAAATGCCTACCCCAGCCCCACTCCCTCCCTCACTACAGGGGCCTCAATCTGTCCCCCTCACATCCCCTCCCTCCCCCCTACAACAGACTTACCAGCTGCACGCAGCTTTCCAAGTTGCTGGGCTGTGCTCCTCACTGCCTGCACAGGCATTTAAAAATCAGCCAAAGTATTGGCTGCGTCAGGCTGATTTCTGATAGTAATTTTTTCTTTATATTGGTGCCAAACTGATATCAAACCAATGTATCGGTGCACCTCAAGCACTAAATTGGTTAAGTTGGATCTGAGGTACTTGATAAACCCTTGCCCCACCCTAGTTTGAGAGGGATTGGGGGTGAAAACCAACCAATGGAGATCTTCCCACATTTCTCCTCACTTTAACAGGTTGACAGATGCATACAAATGGTCTGTGTTGTGTTCAAACAGTTGGCAAAGCATTTACCACCAAGCACCTAGTACAATTTAATATCCTCCTGTCACAAAATATATATCTGAACAGTGTCTTCACTCTCATCCCTCAAATGTTACATGCTGTGGGCAACATTACCACAAGCAATCAGATGAATAGTCTTGAACATGCACCTGGAAATCCTTTTCAAGTATTAGTTCTGATCCTATAATCTTTAACCCCATCTATGCTTCACCTACCGGGTTCAGAGTTTAAAGTCAAATGGTCCTAGAAATTGAAACATTTCAGAATTTACTGCTTTGTTTTGTGTTTAATCTGAATTAATTTTTTTATTAACATGTTCAGTCATTCATTCATAAAATAGGCTCATAGGAAAGGAGGGCAGGTAGGAACTTCACATGGTCAACTAGTTCAGACACCTGCTCAAGGGAGGATCATTCCTGACTAAACCATTCCAGCCAAAGGGTTCCACAATTTCTCTAGGTAGCCTGTTCCAATGCATGACCACTGTCATAGTCAGAAAGTTCCCATAATCTCCAATCTAAGTTTCCGCTGCTGCAGCTTGAGACTATGGCTCCTAGTTCTGTACTCTACACCCATAGAAAAAAAGCCCATCTTCATCCTCTCCATAATAATTCATCAGGTATTTGAAGACTGATCAAATCCCACCTCAGTCTTTTCTTCTCCCAGCTAAATAACGCTAGTTCTTTCAGCCTTTCCTCACAAATTTTGCCTCCCAGGCCCCTGATAATTTGTTGCTCTGCACTGACCTCTCTCTCAACCATCCACATCATTTCTAAAGTGCGGGACACAAAAACTGGACATAGTACTCTAGGTGAGGCCTCACCAGTGCTGAAGAGAGGAAGTGTCACTTTTCTTGATCTGCAAGTAACATTCCTGTTAATAGAGTTGACTTTTTTTGGTGCAACAAAAGCCACATTGCTAGGTCATATTTAGCTTATGGGGTCCACCACAAGCTCCCCCCCTCCCACCCAGTCCTTCCCTGTAGTATTGCAGCATAGCCAGTCATTCCCCATTCTGTACATGCAGTTATTCCATCCCAAGAACAGGACTTTTCACTTGTCTTTGTGGAATCTCATCTTATTCATTGTGAACCATTTCCCCAGTCTACCCAGGTCATTCTGGATCCTAGCCCTGCCATCCAGTGTCAGCAACTCAACCCAACTTTGTGTCATCTGCAAATTTGCCAAGAATGCTCTGTTTCAACCAAGATTTAACTAAAACACTTTCAATTAAGATTTTTTTTTCAAATAAATGATACAACTGACTACTTTATTTCAAAGTTTCAAGTACAGGCTGGTATCAGGAGATACTCTGTGCATTTGTTACAGCAGTATTTCAGCTAGTTATCAGCTGCTAATACAATGTGAGACTATACAGACGAGGCAGATCAATAAACTGTTTACTTAAATCTCAAGGTAATTATGTAACAGTTACCACTGAAGTAATCTTCGTAAGCTACTATTTGTATGGGTCAGTACAGAGAATTTCATGCAGTTCATGCATTTTATTTCCAACAGCCTCAAAAATAGGTAAAGCTTCACTTGAAAAATAGTAATATTGCAAGAAAAAAACAGTATTAAAAAGGACACTTGTTTTCTAGTTTAGAAATAAAAGCACAACATAAATGAAGTTAAGATATTGCGAGTTTATTTTATAAAAAGTATATGCAGAAAGTTTAATTTTATAGAATTAACTTTACATGCTGTTTACAATGTTTTTTTGTTAATATTTAAATATACACATTTAATTCTTAGGAAATTTGATAACAAAATGATAATGATTCTACTGACTTTCAAATTGCAAAAAGTTTCAAACAGGAGAACCTTTATTAAATACCAGAAACAAGAATAGTTTCAAGAATTAATCTCATCTTTAACCGATGTGGTTATTACACCACCTCCTCAGCAAAAATGTAAATCACCTAGCAGTTTTAAGTTCTTAACTGTTTTAAAGAAACATGGTAAAGGTGCTGAATACTAGCATTACCACACAGGAATTTTTTTAACTTCTGCATATTAGAGAAAAGAACAGAACAAAGGCTATGACAGTCACCACAAAATTCAAAGGTCTAGTAAATGGGGAGTATGGCAGCTGATAGAAAGTGCAAACATTTATTCTTCACATATTGGGATTTCATCAGGAATACCACTAACACTCAAGGAACTGAGTTATATGCATATTACAGTAATGGCAGTGATAATATTGAAATGATACAATCATTGCCACATGTCTAGAAAGTGACAGAGCCAACTTTTTCAAGCAGTTTCTCTCTTAATATAGCTTAACTGAATTTACCTAGAAAATTAAGCCTTCCTATAAAACATTGTAAGTTAGACTCTAATGTAATTTAAAGAAACTGAAAAAGTTAGCAACAGAATGGCAACATTAACCCTGAAATACTGTCAACCGCAATCACAATTTCAAACTGGAAATCAAAAAACATTTTACATACAACATTCCTCAGAAAATAGAACAACTAATTTTATACTAACCCATTTTCAATATTAGCTCTGATATAATATCCTAGTATATTAATTCAGAAAACAATATTAAATTTTCCATTTTAAATCAATATCTCTATTGTTTCTCTATTTTACTGGAAGCAAGTCCTGCTTAACCTTTAGATTAAAATCCCACATAAGCATGACTTCAAAACAGTTTGGAATTCTAGGTTTTAACCTTCAAGACAAAAATGCTGTCAACGATAATAAACAGATAGTTCATCGTCACTCATATCTGAATCATCTTCATCTACTTCACCTTCAATGACCGATTTCTTCCCTTTACAACATGACACAACGAATCCAATTAAGAAGACCTGTGAATTGAAAAATTAGTAATGTGTTACTGTTGCTTAATTAAGATGAATATGAAAGTACTAAGTTTAAAACCAAATGACAGTACTGCTGTGAAAACGATACTATGACTTAAATTATGTTAAATCATCCCATTTAATTTAGAATGATTTAAACCAGATTACTTACTCCAATGAATGCCCAGTTCCCAAAGTAGTAAGCAGCACTGAAGAACCAAAACTTGTGAAGGAAAAGGTATGTTCGAGTAACAATGCACTGATCTAAAAGAAAGATAAACAACGGTAGTCTAACAAACAGACTGAAAATTACATCAACTGGAAGCAAATATTTTTTATGGAAGACTACAATCTAGAATTACAGCTAAAAAGTGTTCTGTAAAGACTAATACAGTTCTATACCAAGAGAATCTACTATTGCACTCCAAATAGAATACTTCTTTTCATTAACAGGTATGGATAGAAAAAAATGCATTTTGTGGAAAGAGCAACTGAAAATGTAGTTATACAAGGTATTACTTTCTTACAAGCTCTAAATTGGTACAATTTAGTTATATGTAAAAGCTATGAAGGTATATGGCAAACACTTTTGAAAATGTGCAATGTTTCTAGAAAAAATCTGCAATGAGGCTGTTTATGAGTCGGTCCAAAGATTTAGCAAGGGAACACTACATGTGGGTAGGTCTCATACTACCTACAACTGCAGGCTGTATCTTTGACACCCCTGGCTTAAGGGAAAAGCTGACACCACTTTCCAGAGAAATCTAGGGTGTGGTACAATTGTAACCTGAACTCTAAAAAAAATTTTACAGTATACCTGGTGCCTCCTCTAGGAGGTGCTTGATAAGAGATCTCCGCTACCTTGTCTGGTCTCAAAATCCCTAACCACCACACAAAGTCCCCTTCCACTAAGCATACCTCCTAGAGCAGCAGGAAGGTGGGGAAAGGGAAGGTGGCTCCTTATTGCATTGAGACCTTGGACTTTGTCCTCCACCTTCCCTGGTTCTCATGATCCTGACTTAGGGAGCTAGCAGCCAGTTCTACTCCTGAGAAAGACTCAACGCTTGCTGGGAGGATCAAGTGAAACCCAAAGTTCCAAGCAGCAGGCGGACAGCTCTGTTACAGCAGCATTTACTGGGGCAAAGGTAACCCAGCCAGATTCTCTCTCTCTTTCTCCTCCATCTCCAAATGATTAAACAAGTAGCTCCTTTATTTTCAATCACCCACACAGCCCAGAGACTGTCTTTGTCTCCAGGCTCTCCCTTCCAGGAGCTGACATCCTGCTTGCTCACATTCCTCTCTTCAATGTTCTGCTCATGTCATTTAAATTCCCTCCAGCATCCTGTGCTTCAGCAATCTCACCTTTAATGATCATATCAACAGTCTGGAATAGTTTTGTTGATCTAAGAGGTCCATCTTGTCTGTCCCACATAAGCAGATCTCTTGCTTTCCCATCTCTAACCCATCTTTACCCTGTGCTAGCTACACTGGAAAATGGAGGCAAGCAACATTATAAAAAACCATGGCCACAGTTAATGTACAATTATTACAATAAAACCCATAGTCCATCACACCTGGCACCAGAGCTTGCAAGTCAGCCACTCTGAAGTAGTTGCCTTTATGAGATGGACATGGCCCACAAGCTGTTTGTTGAAGCCCCCTGCCTTAAGGTACTGGGATGTTTTGGAAGGATTACCACTGGTTCTAAGAGTCTATGGCAGCTAAACTAGAAGGTCCTCCTTCCAGAAATGGGGCATAAGACTGAGTTATTGCTTAGGAAACAAACTAGAGAGGCTACAGAGACTGCACTGGAGCCTACCTGGGCAGAAGTGGCAGGATCTGACAAGAACTACAAACAGTGTCAGAGTGACCACCAGTCCTGTCAGACCTTTACTGAGTCACTTCAACATTAAATTTCATTCCCGCTCCCCCCCCCACCCCAAGAGCATTTTGGGGAGTTTTATTTTTTAAAAAATCCTAAACTGACAGGCTAGAGAGCTGAACTCTGCTGCTAAAGTTATGAGAACTAAAATGCCAGAACTAAAAATCAACCATTTTTTAAAAAGTATTAGCACCTATGTTTAGTCCAGTTTGCTTCATTGGCAGACTCCTGAAATTAGGACTATTAAAGAGCAATGAAAGATATACAGCTCCACAGTCTGACTCATGGAGCTCCACACAAAACACCATGAGTTAGATTGACCCTCCCAACCCAAATGAGGTTCACTGTTATTGAGAGGCTAAGAGTGATGAGCACCCCTGAACTTTCACTATGCATTTTCTTCTTCGGGAACAGCTTTGTATGTTTTGAAAAAGTATTTTTATCTAACCAAGGGCATAGATTAGGTTGTTTAGACTGGGGGAGATCGCTTGTTGCTTAGTTGTTTAATTGCTGGCCTCGCTAGAAGGAAAGCTGTATCAACAAAGTTCCGGAGCTGGAAGGGGGGTTACTTGGGGGGGGAGCTGGAAGAGGGGTTACTTGCTGGGCTTGCTATACATTTCATCACATCAGCAAGTTTAACCTGTTACATAGCTATATAAGGCAGATGCCCACTGGGGTGTGTGTGCTTGCTTTGCGAACAATTGCCAAGCACCACTTTCTGCGCAGAAATAAAGATTAAGTTGGATCCTTCACCCCTGTGTGTTTATTGGCATAAGCGCACCAGGCACGAACTCACTGTCCTTTGGGGACAACAAGAGGATTGAGCTAATCCAGCAAAAGGCTGCATGTAATGAGGTTCATTTGTCACATGATTGGGCACTTTAAAGCTCTCTTCAGCCCTGCACTTATCAGCACACAGCTGTAGAGCGATTTCAGTGGCTGATCACGTGATAAAAACGTAACTTCTATAAGCGCCCAAAGAGAATGCCCATGTTCTGTTCAAGAAAAGTGGCATTAGTCAGGAAACCTGAATCACTTTCTCCTGTGAAACAAGTATTAACCATTAGTTTAATATTTTTCTTAAAAAAATACAGAAGAATAAAAAGGTATGCCTCAAACCTGGGAGAACATGGACAAACAATCAAATTAAGTAGCAAGTTTAACAGGGACCAGGGACTTGCTATGGAATAGGGGACATGCAGTAACTATTCAAGCAATTGCAACTATATTTCAGTAAGTGAGAGTTAAACTGAGGCAAGTTAGCCTTGTTTAGTTGCTCCACTTTAGCTTCCCACTTATTGGAGTAATGCAGCTACTCAGTATTAGATGTTCCATGGTACATGTCCCCAGCTCCTTTTAAAATTGATTTGATAGTTTGTCCACCCCCTTGAAAAAAGCTCACATCTCTTTCCAAAACAGACATTTGAACAGAGATAACAGACAATCACTGCCTTCTTGAGGAATCCAACCTCTTCAGACAGCAAGCACATATCCTCTTTACAAATTTTCACTCTGCTACTCAAAAGAAGAGAAATGTTCAGAAACCCAAACACAACAGCATTATGAGCTATAACTATAGACAAGGAAAGACTGAAGTCAAGAGTTTAGATTAAATGCATGGGTTAATATTTTATCAGATTTGAGACTATTCATTAATGCAAGCTTAGATTTGTTTATAACTGAAGCCTAGAGAATTAGAGATATAAAACAGTAACTGTCTGGTAGGGAGCAAAGTTTAGAAAGCTGTGTCTTCTGGTCCCGTTTTTTAAAAGGAACAGGATGGTTTTGGAAGTTAGTCATATAGGAAAGTTGGGAGCTTTGCTGATACAAATCTACAAGTGTACTCCTATACAAGTGTACTCCTCTGCCATCATTATGTGCTTTAAAAAACAGCAGCAATTGATATTATTCTTCCATACACAAAGATTTGTTAGATTCCAAATTCATCACCGAAACAATAAAACAAAATAAAAACTGGAGGTACAGTGACAGTGAATTTGACAGTCAATTTCTTCAGAGAAGTAGCAAAGAACAGCACAGGAAAATAATATTCAATGCATAGAAAAACTAAAAAAAATAAGCAAAAGATAAACAATGCAAGATGGTTAAAAAGATATGCTTAAAAATGTTCATAAAGGTAGATGTCATATTGGTAAAATGTAACCTGACCTGTACCGACTCCTTTTCTTGTATGTCAGCCATCTTTTATAGCTACTTAGGCAAAAATAACTTGTTCTGTCACATTTCTGTTCATATTTAATAAAACAGTTGGCAGCTAAAATGACTGAGTTAGTTCAAGCTAGAAATAGCATATAAAGCACTGTGAAGTGCAACTGTTTGCACTCTGGAGTGGGCATAGTTCTATGGGGCAAGTTTTCCAGTTCTCTTGTACTCCCAACTAACACCAAAAAGTCTGGAGAGGAGCGCACAGGCAATTTTTTTTCCTTTCAGCTACTGGTAAAAGTTCTACAGCCCCTTCCATGCATAGTAGAGGTTCTTGAACAATGAGTGCAAAAGGGTTTATAGCCCATCCACCTAGTAATAGATGGCCTAACCTCTAATTTGGCTTCTTTTAGGAGCTATAAAAGCACCTACTTGGCTCTTGAGGGTCTGGGATATATAAGCAGGGAATCCTGGTTTTCTCTGATAAAATCAAATTCTCTGATAAAAAAAAAGATGCAAATTCTGATAGCCCCCCATCTGAGATTAAAATGAAAGGCCCCACCAGCCCTGCTGATGCCCCTCATGCCCCCCTGCCAGCCCCCTGGCCCTACTGATGCTCCTCACCGCCCCCCCACCTCTACCCCACCACAGCCCCCTGGGTTATGGGGTCCTGGCTCCAGGTCCACAGCCCCAAACCCCTGGCAGGAGACCACAGCTGCTGCAGCAGAGCAGAGCCCAACTCCCCCCTGCTGCAGGCTTGGGAGTCCAGCTCTCCACTGCTGGGTGCAATCCCTGGGAGCCAAGGAGAACCCATACTCCCCAGATCTGTGTGCAGAGCAGGAGTGGGGGTGCGCACAAGCTGTGGGCTTGGGCTCCTGCCCTACCCTGGGTCCTCTACAGCCCAGCTGGTGTGACCCAGTACAGCAGGGAACAGCGGGGCCATGGGCAGAAGCTGCTTGTTGCTGCGAGCTCCATGCTGCCCTGGTGATGCGCCCCCTGCATGCATGGCTGCAGTGAAGGAAGCAGTGCAGAGCTCGCAGCAACAAGCAGCTTCTCTGTGTGGCTCTGCTGTTCTGTGCTGCACTGGGTCACGCCTGCTGGGCTGCAGAGACTCTGGGGGTAGGGCAGCAGTGCAGGAGCTTGAGCCCACACCTGCCCCCACCCCCACCACATGCATAGATCTGAGGGGTGTGGCAGATCCCCCCTGCCCCTTGGGAGT